GTTTGAGGCTCGTGGTTGGTGAGTTAGTGGTGGTTAGTTTTGTTGTGATGACATTAGAGACAGAAGATGAATCCGGCTGAAGGCTCTGATGGATCTGTGACTGTGTGTCTGTGATGGGCGAGTGTGACCTGTGTGTGTGTGTGTGTGTGTGTGTGTGTGTGTGTGTGTGATGGGCGAGTGGGACCTGGGGCAATAGATTATACGGTCTGTACAGTAGAAAAACCATTACGCCTATGGAGAGTCCCCACAAGGGTAGCAAACCAGAAATGTGTGTGTGTGTGTGTGTTTCTGAAGACATCCCGCAGAGCCACTAATCAGCGTTGATTCCTCACACTCTCGTCTCTGTAATGTGCTGTCGGTTCTTGTGTTGGGTCTTGACGTCTTGCAGATGTTGCTGAGATCTGCTGATGAACGATCACTTGTGTTCATTTGCCTCAGATCCGTTTCTTCAGAACGTGTGTCATCGGAACAGATCTGCTCCACACACACTCACATTCATCTTTAATCACGTCCAACTCACTGTCTTCTTTCAGGTCCTCTCCTCACTGCTGTTCTTGACAGTTCATTTAACCTGTTTTTTTTTTCCTTCATTCGTTCTTTAAAATCATATTCTGTAGTGAACACTGAACAGTGGATGTTTTAGAGTGTCACTGGTCACGTGACGTTCAGAGCTCGTGTGATTGGCTCAGAAGAGTCTGGCAGCAGTAGTGAGCACAGGTGACTCCAGCCAAGCAGCTGTCATTGAGATGAATGTGTGAGAGATCAGAGCTCCTCCGGCTCGACGGAGACCCAGATTCACTGCAGACCAGCGAGATTTCACCAGATCCTTCCTTTGTGGCCTCGTTTTCCTTCACTGTATTCGTTTAGCCATTACCCTTCTCTCTTTACCGGATCCGTGTCTAAACATAGTTCTCCTGTTGACTCTAAAGGTCTAATTAACATATGCACAAAAACACGAGAGATAATTATTTCTGCACGGTCACGATTCAGAAAACTCCGATAATTGAATTCTCCTCTTCATCTCCCTTAAAAGCCCGAGCCAGCGGTCCAGACGCGGCTCTCTGAAGTTAATTATCTTCATTATGGAATCATGCTTTCTTCCACACGCAAACTTCTCCAGAATAACTCATTACACAACTTCATGAACTTCCTCAGTTTGCTATGAGATCCACACACGAATGGTTTCATTTTTAGCTGAACCGTCTTTAACAGAATTTCCGCATGAGACTCAAGCTGCATAAAACAGCGCAAGGGTTTAAACAAACTCTTACAGACGAGTGACAAAATGAGAAACGACAGATCGATAATTATCATTATCAACTCAATATCACGATGCGTCACATTCTCAATTTTCAATATTACTGCACGTGGCTATATTTTCATGTACATTTTATATCAAATTTAATTTGTGCAAAATTTACTTTATTTTTTAAAATGATATAAGCAGACTACTTTTTAAAACAATTCCTTATTTAAAATAAGTGTTCTTTAAGCATCCGGAAGTTTACAGACAATAGGCTAGTTATGGGGTTTTGTTTTTTCCTCAGCATTATTGCCATTTGATTATGAGATCATAAACAGTTGCAGCTTTAACAGGCTGCATTTACACTAATGCACAGATCTATTTCGATATATCAGATGTTCTGTCCTGCTCTGAAAACATAACTGACATACATTTACATCAATTTCATATAAAAGTATATGCAAGTGCATTTAACCGCAACCGCGATCGAGCTTCAGGACAACAAACACAAAGCGCAAACACAAAAAAAAAACAAGCTCAGAATCGATTCAGAATCATTGAAGAGAGAATTGCGATGCATCGGAGAATAAATTTTTTCTCCCACCTATATATACAGTGGTGTGAAAAAGCGTTGGCCCCCTTCCTGATTTCGGGGCCAACACTTTTTCACACCACAGTATATATATATATTAAACATTACCCAATCTGGACAAAGTTACAGATGTTCTCTCACCTAAATAACTCTCAAAATAAAGTGCTCTGTGACTAGAAAAAAGGTATAAATAACAATTAACTGCAAGGAGTTGCTGTATATAACAAAACAGATGTCATTTCCCGCTGTGTTTCATAAATTGTAACAAATTATTGCATTGTTTAAATGATTTCATTTAGAATAATAAGAAACTGTAGAGCTTACCATTCAAATGAAATCAGTATTAAACTCCATCTTTCCACTGCTGCAAACACAGAAGCTGCATCTGAAGTGGCATTAGATGTATTTACAGACTGTTTGATGAATCTGAGGTGCCATGAATGCATTTACACTGCAAAATTTCGAACACATAAATAATTTTATAAGATTAATGTTTTTTTGTTTTTTTTAAAACATACAAATAAGAAATGTTGGGAAAAATGCAATGACCGTTTTAAATATGAAACCAAACCAGCAGGTGGCGGCAAATGACTCAATGACTTTCAATGACTGAGTCATTTAGTCATTCAACAGATTCGTTCAAACGACTGATTCATTCAGAAACGAGGCCAGTGACTACTGTCTTTATGAATGGGTTACTGAATCATTGACTCACTCGATTCGTTCAAAAACGTAGATTCATTCAGTAACGAAGCACCGCTGTGTTGCTCTGAGACACAAAACTGTTCTGCTGTGGTTTTGATTGGAACTATTTTCATCAGCAAAATTGAGCAAAAATAGTCAATATTGTGTCGAAGATATAAGTCACTTCATTTTAACTTATTGTTTATTGAACTACTATTGTATAAAATCAGATTGCAATCATGTTGAAACATTTTGGCAATGCAATGTTGCCTACTTAAATCATATTATAATTTTTTTTTTTTTCTACCACAGTATGCACCTATAACTTTCTGTTCTGGCACGATATAAATACATTATCAGTCGCCGTAAGTGTGATGTCAAAACAGAAAAATCACAGAAAATGTCATGCGAAAAATCAGCTAATTCCGGTCCCTGTCCAATTGATCGGTGCATCTCTAATATAATCAAGTATATAATCAAGTGAATATGGTGAAATAAGTGGAACATGTTGTGGTAACTATAACAATAAGTATATCAGTGTCCAATATAATCATATAAGTATATCAGTGTCCAAACCAAAGCACATTATCGTTCTGCTTCATCAAACTCTCACTGCAGTTTTGTTGTTTGTGCCACTTTAAATGCTCAAGATTGGCTGCTTACTTTTCTTATAGTCCATCATCTGGAGAAAAAAAATTTTCTGGAAGTGATTCCAACCACATATTTGTGCTGTCGGTGTCATTAACGTTTTAATAATTCTATGAAAACAGCAAACTCCATATCACAACTCTCTAGTTATATTTCTATATTCAGTAGTCGCCTGCGTCCCATGAAGGAAACGCTCTGAGAAATCTGATATTTCTGAGTCTGCAGGAGGAAGGCCGGCCTGTCGTCGCAGAATTCCTGGAGAACGGTGAGTCGGCCTCCATCCTCCCGCACGCTTCCCTCCACAGCTAATAAAGAGTAACTCTTTATCTCAGACAGGTTTTTAATATCAGAGGAACAAAATTAAGTTGACCCCGTCACAAAGCCTCGGGACTGTCGGTGAAGTGTAAGCCGGCATTCTGCTCTAATCTCCTCCCGCGCTCCCCTCAGACGCCGATAAGACCTCCCTCGCGCTAGCGCTAAGTCTAATGAAGATCTTATCTCGTCTCAATAGTAGATATTAACATGTCCTCATCAAATCCACAACCCTCGACCTCCCTCAAATCAGCTCCAAACAATGCCTCGCCGACGGATTCCGAAAAATGAGCTTTCCTTCATTTTCTGGCATTGTAACTCGTCAAACGCTCATCAAAATTAATCAGACGCCGGCGTTCGGATCAGCGTGAGCAAACTAATATGACCTCATTGTCGAGGTTCTGAGATCCTGCGAGATCTTGACTTCGTTTTTGGGGGAGCTTCTCATTATAGAAACGGTGAACTAAACTAGTAAACTAGTTTTGCTCCAAGAACACTTCAATTCTGAGGCAAAGTGTACAGCCCAACACAGCGATAAAAATGTATTTGTAGTCATTTAAAAAGTTGCAGTAAGCGATTTCTGAGAAACGCTGTTGATATTTGAAATTACCAAAACAGACACGCCCCTCCCAAAAGGATCACACCCCTCTCTTAATAGCTCCGCCCCCATATTCACAAACGGCACCTCCCTCATCACAAGTGGACACACCCCTTACTGCTGATTTGCTTCAAGTGTGTTTTGGTGCTCGGTCTGATCCACTTTCAACAGGGTTTCTCAGAAATTGCTTACTGCACCTTTAAAGTACACTTAAGTTTTGATGTGATCGCTTAACGTATGGGCACAGCCTTTCAAACTACGCTTCATTTCATATCATGCACGAACACTGGCTCTCAACCTCTGCACGCTAGAAACTTACATCATTTTCCAGTGTTTGTGCTGTTTCACTCTGGACGTTTTGAGTGATAAAAATGTCTTTGCGCTCTTTTAAATTTGTACAAATCTCTGAATCGTCTTGCGCGAACGCTCATCACCGTGATCGTCGAATTACCAATTGCATCTTCAGTAGTTCGTTGTTGATCTGTCTCTTTTGTTTCTTTTTCTACTTTGAAACTACGCTCAGTGTCGCCACCTTGTGGACAAACTAATTCAAGATTAATA